TAAATATCCATCTGTAACTATGGAAGTCCACAAATCAGATGTCAAACAAATTCTACCAGGGCTCAACTCCAACATAGACTTTATTCTTGCTTTTTCCCGAGAATACATTTTTTAGACATCTGCCTTTAAAGTATTTCTAGTTACCAAAGTTATCTCAGGATGCAAATATTGGTAAGTTGCCTTAATAGCTTCATATTCAACAAAGGAGAATGGAAGGTCATGCAAAATGATTGCTGTTGTTATCAATTCACGAAAGTGTTCAGCATCAAACCTTTTTGCACTCAACGCTAAAGACCCTTTGTCTTGTGACATCAATAGTTGGCCCACGTCACGCGTGTCTCTACGTACACATGATTGCATGTGACGTCGCATGCTTCCAGTCACATTCTTACTATAAGCCATATACACCACACCACACTCCTTGTATTTAGCTTTTAGCTCCTGATCTGCACCCATTGGAAGCCTTTCAAACTGGTTCCAAACAACAGAAGTATGCTTCCTTTTACGTTTAGAAATGGTGGTCGGATTCTTGGAATTAGCTTCAGGCTCAACATCCGCCTCCAATGCAATAGGTGCATCACCAGTAGCAGCAGCTGTTGCAGTAAAGCTGTCTGACTCTACATTTACTCCAACACCATCTTGCAAATCATCCATCTACAAATCAGATCAAATGCACAAGAGAAAAGAAAAAAGTTTGAAGTAAAATGGGAAAAAAAACAAATAGAAAGAAAGAAAAAGTTCTTGCTGTTCACTTCTTCTCAGCAAATAAGTTTGTTTTCCCCTTTCATTTATGGAAACCATTTTATGGAAACATGTCCAAAGAGACAATGTCATACAGATTCATCATCCTTCATGTGTCAATTACTTTAAAAAGAAAAGAAGAAAGACAACCACTAGTAAATTAGGCTTAGGCTTTAAAAAAGCTAACCTGTTCTTGTTTTTTTTTTTTTTTTCCCTCTCTCACTCTTTTTTTTCCTCTTCACATTTTCGAGGATAAAGACTTTCACTTGGAAAGTGATAGCCCATGCCTAAAGATATATTCATAGTGAGCACCACTGTCATTATGCAAAGGAAAAAAAAAAAAAAAAAGGTAGTGGCCAAGGTGCCAAGCCAAGCCAACACTACATTCCAAGACACCTACCAAATCTTTTGGGTTTGTCCTTGCCGGTGGGACACGCAAATTATTTCATATATGATTAATTAGGGCAAATTTACATTTTTACAAGAAAGGAAATATGCAAAATATCATATTGCAATGAATTACACTTAAAAAATAAAAAATAAAAACAACTCAAGAAGTAATTATTCCTAAGCACAACAACTAACGGTTCGTGGGTTTGAATCTTTCAAATAAGTTCGTTTTCCCCTTTCATTTATAGACTAACAATAAATACCAAATTACTACTCATAAATTTCCGCCATATATCAATGAAGCTTTCCCCTTTCAATGGTTGGATTCTCCGGAATAACAAAAAAATCAAACATGAAAAAATCATATGAATGAAGCGGAGAACATACCGGGAGAAATGTAGAGTTTGTGACCACTTCCGGTGTTGGAGCCTCTGAGAACAAATCGAAGAATCAAAAATCGAACAACTCCTGAGAACAAAAATCGAAAACCAGCCAAGTCTAACCACAAAGTCAAGAACAACTTTCAAAACAAAATCGAAAGTGACAACCAGCCAAGTCTAACTACAATCGAAGAATCAAAACAAAAAAAAAATAGAAAATGAAAACTCCTAAGGGCTTTACCTGAAACGGAATCCAAATGGTCGTTCGCCCCCCAAAATCAATCACAATGGTGAAAGGCTGAACCTGAAACGGCGCGGGTGAGGAGTGAGGACTGAGGCGGTGGCCGGTGAGGACTGAGGCGGTGAGGACTGAGGCAGTGAGGACTGCAGGTGAGGCCGGCGGAGACTTGAGAGACCGTGAGGCGTGAGATGATGAGACTCGAGAGAATGAGAGAGAGAACTGAGGCACAGAGGCAGGGGTTCAGCTCAGGGACGGCCGCATGGGGAGAGGAGTTTGAGTGTTACTGTGTTAGTCTGTTAGACACTTCTTAGACTAAGGGTTTCGGTTTTGTCTAAAAAAATATATATTTTGGGCATATTAAACGGGCCGGTCCGGGTCGTGCCTTCTGGCCCGATAATGGCACGTTTAATTAAACGTGTTAAACGGGCTGGCACGAATTCAGCCCGTTTATTTTCGTATTATTCGTGCTAGCCCGTTAACGACCCAATTAATAATCGTGCGGTCCAAACTCATTTATCTCGTGTCATTTTCGTGTCGTTTCATTGTGTCGTGTCTAAAATTGTCGGTCCCAGGAGAGCAAGTCTTCTCTAGAAGTACAAGGATCTATTTCGTGCATATTTTTATTTTTATTTTTATATTGAATAAATCCATTATTGTAATTCGCACATTCTATGTGCAATTTCAACTTAAAAAGTGAAAGAACCTTCCAAATTTTACCCTAAAAAAAAAAAAACTTCCAAATAAAAAGTTTCCAATTAATCCATAAAAAAGTATCCAATTCAAAAAAAAAAAAAAAAAAACAATAAAAGCGACCTAATAAATCAAACTTTTCCTTAAAAAAATGAATTATTTAGTATAATACGGTGCCAACTGTTATACTGCTGTCGTTTATTAACTTCCTAGCTTCTTCTGCGCGTCTTAACATTACAGTTTACAGTAATCACCTCTCTCTCTCTCTCTCAAAAGTAACTCCAACGACACCAATACATGGTGTACACGGTACACTGGTAACTCATATAATTGTTCATCTTTCCTTCTTTCTTTCCTTCTTCGGCGTTACAGTAAACCCCATTTTCCCTTTTAATAAACCCATCCACAGTCACCAGAAATCCGAGAAGAGGAAGACCAACCAGACAACCCAATCGAGAGTTCGAATTCTGAGAACACAGATTCCATAATGCACGCGAAGACCGACTCGGAGGTGACTAGTCTGGCGGCGTCGTCTCCACCCAGATCTCCCCGGCGACAGGTCTACTACGTGCAGAGCCCGTCGCGTGACTCCCACGATGGGGAGAAGACCGCGACGTCGTTTCACTCGACGCCGGTGCTGAGCCCAATGGGCTCGCCGCCGCACTCCCACTCCTCCGTGGGCCGCCACTCGCGGGAGTCCTCCTCCAGCAGGTTCTCGGGCTCTTTGAAACCCGGATCGCGCAAGATCTCCCCCAACGACGCCTCTCGCGGAGGGCCGAGGAAGGGCGAGAAGCCCTGGAAGGAGTGCGCCGTCATCGAGGAAGAAGGTCTTCTCGAAGCCGAAGAGCGCCGGAAGGGCCTCCCTCGCCGCTGTTACTTCCTCGCCTTCGTTCTCGGTTTCTTCCTTCTCTTCTCCCTCTTCTCTTTGATTCTCTGGGGTGCCAGTAAGCCTATGAAACCCAAGATCACCGTCAAGGTTCGCTTTTTTCACAATTTTTTTTCCTCTAATTTTGATCTTTCATCTTTGGTTTCTGATTACTTTGCGCCGTGTTGTAATTCCAGAGTATAAAATTCGAGGAATTCAAGATCCAAGCGGGTTCTGATTTCACTGGAGTGGCCACCGATATGATCTCTTTAAATGCAACTTTGAAACTCACGTTTCGAAACACCGGGACCTTTTTTGGGGTTCATGTAAAACCGACGCCAATAGATCTAATTTATTCCGAAATCGCAGTAGCTTCTGGAAATGTAAGTCTTTTTTTCTCAATTCTCTCCTCCTGAATTCCATAATTGTCGGTATTCAATCTCAATTTTTTGTTTAATTTTTTCAGATGAAAAGGTTTTATCAATCGAGAAAGAGCCAGAGATCTCTGAGTATTCCGGTAACGGGGAACAAAATTCCGTTGTACGGCAGTGGAGCCGGTCTGAGCAGCTCAACGGGGACGTCGAGTTTACCGGTGCCATTGAAATTGAACTTCGCGGTTCGATCTAGAGCCTACGTTTTGGGGAAATTGGTTAAGCCAAAGTTCAACAAGCGAGTTCAGTGTTCTCTGACTTACGACCCCAAAAAGCCCCACGTCGCAATCAATCTCAAGAAATCTTGCACGTATGACTGAGACTGATTAACAACAGCAAAACGTAAACGAAAGATGGAATTTGAAGACGTTGAATTTTGTATCTTTATTGTTATTATTAGTATTATTATTATTATTATTATAATTTTGTAATTTAATTCTTGGGGTTTTCTTTTCTCTGTTGAAAGAAGGAAAAAAAAAAAAAAGGAAAAAGGGTGAGAGACAGCTCAGCGGGCAAGTTTGGGATCGTCTGGGCAGGGAATGGACAATGGAGAACGCGGCATTAGACTTTTTTGGCTGCCCGAATTACAGTCTGGATCCGGCGGTGGCTTGTGGGTGATCACCTTCATGCTGTTTATTTATTTTTTTTCCTTTTTTTAATTGTAAACGTTAGAAATTATTTGTTTACGCTCAATAATGATGTACCATTCATTAGTAATTATAGTTTTATCATTGAGACTAAACTTGCTTATACATATAATAAAGGTTGTATTCATACTTATGTTTGTAATTATGCCTCTGTGAAATATGGAAGTAGTGATGAAGGTGGATAGCTAATTATCAACTATGGTTAAGCTTTACAGTTTTAGCAGAATGTTGGTTCTGTATCAGTGTATCTTGGCAGGAATCAATAAAAGATTTGATATGCTTTGGAGCTTTTATAAGTAAACTGAACTGTATAGTGATAAAAGAATCACAAAGAAGAGTGGAAATGGTCCAAATACAGACAATGAGAACTAACGACAATTGAAAACAATAACTTATGACAGGACACAATCCATTGTCTATGCTTTTTTGTGTGTGAATATTTTAATGCCACAACTTGATCATGAAGCATCTGCATGTCTTATTCCTTGCCCATCAACTATAACAAAAGCCGTGTTGTATTCGCATGTGCTTGTTGCAAGGAAAATGACCAAGATTTAATAAACTATACGATATTAGACAACTCGAATGATTTTGTCTAGAGGTGTGTTTGAGCCCTTTTTAAAAAAAAAAAAAAAAAAAAAAATAAATAACATGCCACAACTTGATCATGAAGCATCTGCATGTCTTATTCCTTGCCCATCAACTATAACAAAAGCCGTGTTGTATTCGCATGTGCTTGTTGCAAGGAAAATGACCAAGATTTAATAAACTATACGATATTAGACAACTCGAATGATTTTGTCTAGAGGTGTGTTTGAGCCCTTTTTAAAAAAAAAAAAAAAAAAAAATCAATAACTAAATAAAAAATAATTTTTTTAAGCGGTTTGATATCTTTGATCAAAATTAAATTAAACTGAATCACTCATAAACGGTTTGGACGGATTTGAGCGGTTTAAGTTTAAAATTAAAAAAAAAAATCAATAATCCATAAAAATTATAAAATTGTTAATCAATAAAAATAAAAATAAGATTCAAAATATAATTAAAAAATAACAAATGTCTAATTGTTCACCATTTAAAATTTTAATACAAACTAATAAAAATATGATAGAGTGTATTTTATTAGTGTAAAATCTTTATTATGATCAAAAAAATTAAAATAAATATAAAAAACATTTTTAAAATTAAAAAATCATATATGTATATTTTTAAATGGATTATTTGGCAGTTTGGACAGTTTGAGAAGTCCAAATCAAAAATCAAACCGTCTAAAAAAATTAAATTAAAAAATGATCAAATGGTCCAATAACTTAAAAACTAATTAACAATTTAGTTCGATTTGATTTGAATTAGACAATTTTCGTGGTTTGATGGATTTTTTAACACTCTTAGGATTCGTTTAGTTCACTAATTCAAGTTGAGATGTATTTTATGTGAGAGCTTTTTACTATAGTAAAAAAATAAGATGTGACTGTTTCTAAGAGCTTTTTACTGTAAAAAACTCAAATTGGTTAAATGAATGAGGCCTTAGGTCTCGTTCGTTTCACCTATTTGAGTTTTGTTAAAGTAAAAAATTTTTAAAAACAGTTACATTTTATATTTTTATTACAGTTAAAAACTCTAATATAAAATTACATCTCAACTTAAATTTAAAATTCAAATCAATAAACTAAATAGATTCTTAATTTTGTCCCGGTGGTTTACGAAGCTGGTGGCACAAATTGAAACACATGTCTTCACTCTGCACCTAGCCACCCACCATGTGGTTTTTGCATATCTTTGTGGAACTCAGTTTCCAAGCAATACTAGTACATAAAAGGCAGAACAGTCTCAGAAGTAAGAATAACCAATTATGGAGAAATCTTTCATGATGACAGAGAACATGATCAATAGAGTGTGTAAGATTCGTTCACTTCATAAATTTAAAATTTTAATTTTAATTTTATTATTATAAAATTTGTTATAAAAAATTATATCTAATTTTTTTTATAATAAATTTGTTTTACATAAAATTATGTTTTAATTTAAATTAAAAATTTAAATTTACAAACTGAACGAGACTAAAAAATTTTCCCTTATCATTTTCACTAAATTATATATTTTAAATTGGATATTTACTACAATTTCTCTTCTTTTTTCACATAACTTTGAGGGTCCAGTAAAAATCTCCAAAATGACCTCATTTCTTCTGTACTCCTCAGGACTGCCCTCCTGTGAATGTCGCTATTTACTCTCATATGTTTTTCACTAAATACATTCGCTGCAATTTTTGAATTTGTTTCTTTAGCGGAGTACAACATGACATATTAACAAGAGTATAGTAGAAATATTATAATATTTCAAAAAATATTTTAATAATTATAATGATTGTCACGTTACAAAATAAAGGAATAGCTTTTTTAAACATTCTACAAGCTCCATCCATCATGAACAGATTTTGGAGTAGATATTGAAACTAATTAAATATATGGTAAATTTTAGAATATTTGAATTAAATAGCAGTAAAATATTTTGTTTACCGTATAAATTTTATGTTTATGACTAGTAAAAAAGATTTTTACCACCTAATTTTTACAACTAGTAAAAAAACTTTTACCACATAAATTTTTAATTTACTACTATTTAATTCCAATATTTTTAGAATATGCTATTTATTTTAATTATTTACCAAAAATATAAATTTCCTATTTATTTCATTGTTCCTTTTTGTATGCAAAAAACTACGAAAAATTGTTAAATTTACCTTTAAAAGTGTGTAGGTCTGAATTTTTAACCTTTATTCTTTATTAGTACTCTTTATTAATATAATTATTTAATTAAAAAATATATTAATCAAGAATAAAAATCAAAATCATTTTGACAGTTATTTGTCAAGATTTATTGGGAAATAATAACTAGACGTCAAAAAGGAACTTAGAAACTGAGTCCAACCAGACCGAGCGCAAAAGACCCAGCAACAGGCCCGACAAAGAGCCCAAACCATGAGGCCCCCATGCATCAATCCAAAGCCCATGTATTTACGAAATTGTAAAACTACCCCTAAAATTATTAGTAATAAAGGGACCGGCAGGAATTAGAAGGAATATTAGCCATCAGCCACCTTGCCCATTGCTTGCTTATACGGGGAAGACAGAGAAGGAAATTAGGGCTCTGGAGCTCATCGTCTCTCTCGCACATGGCGTTTCCTCAACACCATTTCCAGCAACTCTACCAACCTCAGCAACCACAGCAACCCAAATCTTTCAGGTAACTTACTATTTTCCCCAGAAAAAATAACAGAAATTAATTAGAAAGGAAATAATTTTCTTCTCAGCCCTAACAATTTGGTTTCCGTTTGTTTCATTTTCTGCAGAAATTTATACTCTATCGACGGTCAGATTTCACCGCCTGTGACTTATTACGATCCGACTACAGTGCAAGATCAGTCCCAGCATCCTCCATATATTCCACCATGTAATATCTCTTTCCTTCAAAATTTCTCATTTTGGGACTTCTCTGTTTGATTTCCGAGAATCTGTAGCAAAATGCAAGAAAGAGT